TCCCTGAGCTGGTTCTGGGAGCCTCTTTACCCAGGAGCTGCAAGGAATTGGATGCTCAGGGCACGTCCAGGATCCCACAGGGACCATTTCTGGCTCAGGCACACTCGGGTTGCTTAGAGGGCAGCTTTAACAGCTCCTAAAATTTGGATTATTTGTGCCATTTTCATCCTTCCCTGTGCTTAACACCCCCATCAGTTATTTGGGGAACAACTCTCTGCTCAAATCCCACTTCAGTTGCCAAAATGGTGGCAGTGCTTTATAAAGTCAGCCATGAGCCAACCATCGTGTGTTATTTAATTTTTAAATATTTATAATATTTCCCACTGTGGCCCAGGAGCTCCCTGCTCAGCATTCCAGAGCCTGGATCTCTGGGGGTGTCTGTGATGACCCCACTCTGTACCAAAAATGAAAATTGCACCAATCTCAAGGTCAGATTCCAGCCCTGATTCCATCCTAATTCCTTGTTCCTGGCTCACTGCTTGCCCCTGCAATCCATCCCAGATGGGGCTACCCCTGGCCAGCCCCAGGATCCAGCCCTCTGAAGGAGCAGGAAAAAGATTGGGACACAGGATGGGTCAAGAGTTCAACTCCATTCCAGAAAATAAATAATAATCCACAAAACAATCCACAGAAACCAACCTGTCCTCCCCTATATCTGCATCCAGACTGCGTGTGCACCCACACTGCATAAATATTCACTTCTGAATAAAAACCCTTGCTTAGTTTGTTCTGTTATGACAATTTGTCGCTACCTATAGATCAGATATTCATTTGCATATGAAAAATATCATCATTAATCACTATTTTTATTCTGGATTGGACAGCAGCACACACAACTCCCTCAAACAAGATTCAGAACTTAATTATCATAAGTGATGTTGAAAATACCTCTCCCAAATCTCGGTTAACCCCATCTGCATCACAGCCAGGAGCACTGGAGCAGGAATTCATATTTATTATTATTTATAAATGTAAAAGCTGAAGTGTGCAGTTACTTATTCCATCTTGGATTGATAATTCTCCAGGATGGTTCCATTTGAAACTCTGCCAGATCTGGGAGTGAGCAGAGCAGAGTTCACAGGAGCTGCACCCATTTCCAGGGATCTGTTCCCAGATCCTGGGATCCTACAGGAGCTGCAGCCACGAGCTCTCCTTCTGCCACGGACTGAGCCTCAAAATCCTCACATTCCTACCAAAAGCCTGACACGGTTTGCTGCCTTACAAATCCTGTGATGCTCTCATGGAAAATTTCATCAATTCCAAGGCAGAAAACTTGAGGAGCTGAACTGAACCAAGGGAGCTTTCACTCTGCACAACAAATGCCACCCCCTCTTTTTTTTAATTATTTTTTTTTAATTTTACATTTTCTGATGAAATGGAAAACAAACCCACTTGAACATTTGCCAAATGAAGAGAAATGGGGAGGTTTTAACCAGCCTAAATAAGGGACTCTGAGCTAAAAAACACATGGAAAGGAAGAGGATGCAAAAGCTTCTTGTGGTTTGGTTCCATTTCCTGGGAACGGGATTCTCTTCCAGGAAAATGGGTCTGGACATGGTTAAGCGTTGGATTTTGAGTCGTGATTATTTTATATATGAATGTGTGTGTAAATTTATTTATTTATTTACATTATTTATTCATTGATTTCTATTTCCCCACAAGTATTACATAAGTGCACAAATATTTTATGTATTTTTATATATTTGTATTTTATATATTATGTTCTATATGTTATACTATGTTTATCTGTTATATGTTTATTAATTTATCTTGATAGATATTTATTAGCTCTAGACTTGTAGATTTACAAGTTCATATTATATATTATATATTATATATCATATATTATATATCATATATTATATATTATATATAATATATAATATATAATATATAATATATTATATATTATATATTATATATTAGATATTAGATATTAGATATTAGATATTGTATATTATATATTAGATATTAGATATTATATGCAATACATTATATATTATATGTAATATATTATATCTATTATAAATATATATTATATCTAATATATGATCTATAATATAGGTTATAATAGATTATATATGTTATAAATATATATTTTATACCTATAATATTTTACATATGCATGGATATATAAAAATATATCCACACAGATACACATACAGTATAAAATACCCTCGGAATTTTCATCCTACCCCTTTTTAACCATGCAAAAATACTTTAAAATTTGCAATAACTGGTATTTCCCATGGGAGAGGAGAACACGTTTGTGTTTCCTGTGATTCCCTGGGGATTTACAACCCTGAGTAACTTCTCCTCACAGGATCAGTGGTGGAGCACAAAGAGCTGCTGCTCTTTGGCCAAGTTCCTCTTCCTGCCCCTCTCAGATCATCCAACTCTTTTCTTTCCCTAAATAAGAATATTTTTCAATGATCCAGCAGAAATTGCCTTGAAAATCAGTTTTTGACTCTGCCTTGCAGGGACAAAAATCAGGGAGGTTTGGGAAGGGCTGATTTGGGGATGGGGATGATCTGGGAGGAAATGTTTGGGGATCCTCTCGGGTCACTCCTGTCCTGCCCAGTCTGTTCCAAACACTCCTGGACAGGGCTTGGGGCAGCCTGGCACAGTGGGAGGGGACCCTGCCATGGCAGGGGTGGCTCTGGGTGGGACTCAAGGTCCTCCCAACCCAAACCCCTCCGGAATTCTGTGGTGCCAGGCTGGGAGGTGAGTGCACACACAGTGAACTTCTCCAGTGTGGTCAATTCTTTCATCCTGAGGGGAATGAGAAATTGTCTTTACAAACAAAGTGCAGGTTTGGTGAGA